ACCTAACAAGTCAAGTTCAGTACATATGCAGAACTTACGTCAAGGAAGTCATTGTTCCGACAGATGTGCTGAAGGTGCTCGAATCTGACTTCAGTGAAAGAAATGTAGAAGATGGTCATTTCTCTCAGGATGACCTTCGCTTCATCACAAAAATGGAGGAAGGCATAAAGATACAAGAAAATGGACAACGCGAAATGCCATTGCCATTTAAAGAAGACAAGCCGTCTCTGCCTAATAACTTTAAATGTGCTGACCATCGCCTCCGGTCACATAACAAAATTGCTCATACAGCATTATCATCAACGAGCGCAACATCAAGGACGTGGCATAACAGTCAATGAACTACGAGCCAATGGATTTTGGATACTCGGGTGCAGTAATGCTGTCTCATCCTGCATTAACAAGTGTGTCAAGTGCAGAAGGTTTAGAAGGTCTACAGAGAATCAGCAAATGGCAGACCTGCCCAGCGATCGCACGGAAGAGACGCCTCCATTTACGTACTGTGGAATAGACTGTTTCGGACCATTTCATGTTAAGGATGGAAGGAAGGAGTCGAAGCGCTATGGCCTGCTATTTACTTGTTTATGCTCTCGTGCAGTTCACATAGAGCTACTGGAAGATATGACCACAGACTTTTTCATCATTGCTCTCCGTGCCTTCATAGCCATACGTGGTAATGTTAGACAACTCCGCTGCGATCAAGGTACCAATTTTGTCGGTGCCAGGCGTGAGTTCGTAGAGGCCTTGAAGGAAATGGATCAAGAACGTCTAAAAACACTGGGCTGTGAGTTTATCATGAATCCGCCGTCAGCAAGCCACATGGGCTGTGCCTGGGAAAGGCAGATTCGGACAGTAAGAAGTGTGCTGACGTCTATCCTGGATCAGTCCTCCAATCGACTTGATACTTCCTCATTGAGGACATACTTCTATGAAGTAATGGCAATCATTAACAGTCGACCATTAACAGCTCATTTACTGAATGATCCTACAGGACCACAGCCTCTCTCGCCTAATCATATATTGACAATGAAGTCCTCTATCATTTTTCCACCACCTGGAAAGTTTGAAAGGGAAGACCTCTACCTTTGGAAGAGGTGGCGCAAGGTCCAATACTTAGCCAACGAGTTTTGGTCCAGATGGTGCAAAGAATATCTGCTGAACTTACAACCACGTCAGAAATGGCAACGAAAGCGCAGAAACGCTAAAGTCAATGATATAGTGATCGTGCAAGATGACACTGCCCCAAGAACTGAATGGAAATTGGCAAAGGTCACAAGGGTCTATCCTGCAGAAGATGGCTGTGTAAGGAAACTGCAACTCCTGATCAGTAATCCAACTTTGGATAAAGAAGGAAGACGTTCTGGGAAGCCTGTATACTTGGAGAGACCCATCCATAAGACGGTGACCCTGATTGAAGCCGAGTGATGCCGCTACATTTTTCTTGCAATGTGTTTTATCATCCCATGTTAACTTAGTTCATCGGTTGTGTAAAATCACAAGTGATTTGGTGGGAGTGTAGCTGCCATCGAAGTCAGAATAAATAAATAAATAAGAGATTAATAAATATTTAAGTTAAAAATATAGAGCTCATAAATGCATACATTTTCAGTAATAAAGGTTAAATATTAAAGTATAATTTCATGTGTTTCTTGAATATTGTTTGTTTTGATGTGGGGGAACAAGTCCTAATTAAGAGGTTAAGGGGATGCAGCTGTGGGTCGACGGAGTGTTACCTTTAAGGGTCGGTACCTGTGGATCTGTAACGTGGTTCTGGAACAAACAATCAGGCAGACACCGTGCTGATTCCTCTGCCTAAGTCACCAGTGATAAGGACATTGGATAAAGGACTGAAGATTCTAATTTTCTCTCAAGGATAAGCGGCCAATGAGGTACATTTTAGTTTAATTTACTGTTTACTTTGTTTGACCGTTAAGATGTAACGCGAAGAATTTCTGTTGAGTCATATATTGTATGGTCGCTTTTTTCCTTTGATGTCCTTTCGGGGAAATAATTAGTTTGTTTGCTTTTCTTTCTGTATGTTTTAACAGTTCTCACGGCACACTATCATACTTCTTGTGTGATTAAAGCCAGTATCTAAAGAACGACTTGGTTTCCTGATTTTTCGACTTGAGAGGGAATTACAAACTGATTGAACCCTCATCTTGTTTTGTCTCGTGTCCTTAAATATGTTGTGTCTTGTGTGGACGTAACAACATTAAAAGATCAAAAATCTCAAAAAGAAACAAATTGTTTAGCTAGAAACTTTCCCTGACTTCTACCTCTACCTTTGTATCTCCATTTGAAAGGATATAGTTGTTCTCCTGCATTTAGTGGTATAGCAGCAGACCACAGAAAGGAACTTCTTTGTTCTCAGTGCCATACACCAAGGGAGCTCCAGTCTCTTCATCTCAAAGTCATTAAACTGAAAAGAGAATTGATTGATTGACTTTATTGATTTTACATTGGAGAAATTTACTCATTACATTAGCTCAAATAGTCAAAAAGAGAAGAAAAAGGTGCATGGGATATATACAGTCTATACTGTCTATACACTGCGTCCACATGACAAATTTTTTTTTTTTTTAAATATGTTGGTAGGAAATGTTGCAAACAGTCAATTTGGTTCTGATATCAGCCACCGGGTCCACATAGCCTTTGGTTAGTACGGAGTTCTAGTCCCTGGGCATGGGGCCATATTGGTGTCTCTTCTGATGTTTAATCTGGAGGAGAGTGCCACAGAAGAGAGAAAGGATCCCTCTGAGTTTGGTATTTTCTGCTCAAACACTGTGGGGGGGGAGGACTAAAGGGGGGGGGGGGGGGGGGGGGGGGGGGGGGGGGGGGGGGGGCTTTGAAGCAATTAGAGATTGTGAAATGCGGAGCAAAACAGCATCCCCTTCCTTGGACATTGGTTCCTAATTTCTAAAGTTGTTATCATGGTTTAAAACCCAACAGAAGTTATAGAGTTTTTTTCCCCCAACCACTTTATGTTGCTACTGTGCTATTAAAACTAAATGCTGCATTTGACATAAAGGTCCATGAAATATTGCTTTCTCAAATTCAGCAGCATAGGTGTTGATTAAATCTTTCATGGTGCAAGAGTTTTTGTGCAGAGTACCAGCCTTCGACTGCTACCTTCAGAGTTCCTTCACCTAGTTCTGACTTGGATCTCTTCATGTAAAGCATGAGAGGACTTTTTGCTGTTACACAGCTGACAGAGTCTTAATAAAGAGTTAGCTGTTAAAAGTTGGTGACAGTAAACACAACTTTCTCATCACTCAGCTAGAATTTTATCAGTCTCAAGAAATTAGAACTCGTTTGTGCCATTTCAGCCTTGCTTCACTGTTTTTACAGTTAGGGTTTTGTTTACATTGATCTACAAAAATACATGCAGAAGTGCTCTCTTAAGGTCAGCTAATCAGCGCTGCTACAGATATTAACTGTAGGCTTAGAGTTGTGCAAACGCTAGCTGCTGCAGACCAAACATGTGGGATTATCTCACATTACACAAACCTTCTCTGTGGGCTTTAAACGAGACACATTTTTTATTTTTATTGCTTCACTGTGTCATATTATTTATGTGTCTTGGTGTTTTTCGGATGTTTTTCTCTTTTGTTGTTGTTGAATGTGTGCTGTTGTGTCTTTTCTGTTGCATCTCCTTGGTCCGGTGTGGTTCTTTGAAGGGCTTTAGAAGTAACGCAGGATTGGATTGAGTTGGCTGCAGGAAAAAGAACAACAACTGTTGATATAAGGTCTCTTTTCTTGTATTCTCTCCATATTTTCAGCATAAGACATGTCTTCCTAACAATGAGTATTCACTGGATGCCCTACAGTCTCAACAAAATCCTCAGACAAAAAACTCCTTAAACAAGTCTCACAAGCAGTAACTTGTATATTAGAATGAAACTGTACGAATCAGAGCAGCCAATTGCGGTTTGTGTGTGTGTTCAGAGGGTTGCTAAGCTGTCTTAGTCAGCAGTAACGTAGCCTGCGTATGCCGCCAGCAGTAAGCTGAGCAGAGTGAACAGGTGGCTCATCTGACATACTCACAGCAACATTAACAACTTACAGGAATATCTTTATTAAAATATGATCCAATTTAGGAGGGAAGAGGCAATTTTGTGACGTCTAACTGATGAATGTAATTGAGGCAAAATACTATTTTCTAGTTTCTTTTCCCTACATACAGTGCTCAAGTTGATGGAGGACAGGGGCCTTTTTAAAAAAATCTTAAAAGTCATCCCCTTTCTTAAATGACCATCCCCCTGAACCATGCCCTGTGACATTTTATTACTGAACGTGTAACATTTCTGCTATATATTAACAGTAATGGCAATAATATTGACTTTTTAACATTTGGCTGGCTGTGGGTTTATGACTAGCCTGAGCAAAATAAATAAAATTAAAAAAGTGGCCTAACATGACCATGAAGCTGATCCCAGTGGGAAATTTGTCCTCTGCATTAGTCCCTAACTTTGTAGGGGCAGTGATAGACATGCCAGTCCAGTGACAGACTGCAGTTCTACTGTAAGGTGCATTGGTCAAGGTCAATGACCGGCGTACCTGACATACCATGCATAGTGCTTTAGGTGATAAGACTATATTGATTAGGCAATTTGTGCTTCGAAAAAAAAAAATAATCCACCATCCCAGCTAGACTACTACCTACATACATTGTTAAAGAAAACATACAATTGTATTGTATTTCTTAACATGAAAAGTAGAATTAAACACAAATTTATAACAATAAAATATTTGTAAAAAACATAATGCTATGAAAATAAACAACAAATAACAGCCAAACATATAACAACAGTATCAAATGAATTGTATTTTATTTATCTTTTTACTCAGATTAGAATAAATAGAAAGCATGCTAAACTATTTAAAGTCATTTCCACATTATCATTAATTCTTTATGTGATCTGCCAGATAATATTGATTTGAATCAGTGCTTTTGATACCCTTTGATCGGACTATGATTTTCATTTCTCCTTCCTCAGCACGGTCGTCGGTGACAACCACCATGGTCATTGATGGCAAAGTGGGAGAAGCTGGCTCAACCACTGTCCAGGGGTCCAAGAAAACGTTAACAGAGGACTTCTACTCTACTTTTAGCTCTCCTTTAGCCTGGATCCTGGTTCTGGCACTAGTCATCACATGGACATGTGTGTTCGTTATAATGTTCGATCTGGCAGACTACAAGACCATTGCAGGTAGAGTAAGACGGGTGAAAATATCGTCTCTTTCAACTCTATTCCTTCTGGCATTTGTATGAATTATGATGTTGATTGATTGGTTAATTGTCTGCAGTTTGGTACAAGTTCAACCGATTTCTCCAAACAGGGGCATAACATTCTGGTCCTCAAGATCCAATGTCCCACAACCTTTAGTAATTGGTAAAACTCTGCTAAATCTCTGGTCTATAAAAAGCAATAGAGTCAATTATTCTGATGTGTTGGATCAGGAACACATCCAAAAAAGTTACAAAACAATCTAAGCCAAAATAAGGCTGTTGTTGTTGTCGGTCCACTCTATAAAGCTTTGTATTCAAAGCTAATTCTGACATTTGGAATTGAAAAAGCTTCCTGGATGGGAAGCAAAAAGTCCTAAAGCTTGGAAAGCAAGTCCAGTGGATTGTTTTTAAAAATTTTTTGAATGACTATTACCTGGATGACTGAGAATCATCCAAGTCATAGAAGAATACCAAAACCTAAAGAAGTCTGTTGAGAAATAAAGGTACTGTAAGCTCCCCCTTTAGTCACATTATATGACTGGCAGTAGATTTCCTTGTAACAACATAAATGTAAAAAAAAAAAGAAAAAAACTTTCGGGAGAAGTTACGCAGTCATTTGCTTATTCACAGAAACAAGTGACATGGAAAGCTTTAGTTTTCTTAGTCCCAGTACGCATCTTAATGGTTTGGTCTATAAAATCTCTGAGTATTATTTATTACACTCAATTATGTTGTTGTTGAAAAAGTTGAAAAGGCTGCAAAAAGAAAAAAAAACAACAACAGCCCTTTAAAAAAAGGGTATTTTAATAATAATAAAAAAGAAAATCATGTCCCAGAATCTAGATCTTCAAAGGAAAATAACAAAAACACATAAAAGAAAAATATACGAAGGTCTGGGACAAGATAATAAAACATCAAACATAAGGATCTGTCAAAGAAAACAAAAGTACACAGGAGGCTGATCACTGGGTAGGAGCCATGCATTATTGAGTGGAGGGAGAAAACTAATATAATGAACTGACATGATGATTAATAACATTTCACATGACAGATACCAGGTATTTAATTTCTACTTTCATTCTATTTTATACCTTATATATTTATGATAATTCTAAAAATATATGTCTTTAATACTGTTGTATAAAATGCACTAATTCTACTTATTCATGTTTCTGTGACAACACTAAATCATTCCTTCCAAATAACATTTAATGACACAGGAACCTTTAATTGTAAGGACTCAACAGAGGGGCCGAGTAATCAGGCAAGACAGACAGTGGGATAAATAAAAAGCTTTTATTAAGCAACGGGCTGCGGATCTGCTTTAGCAGCAGTTAGAGTGTCTAAGACAGGGACCTCTAAAGGAGGGAAACACAGGTTAGTGGCCACGACAATCTCATGGAGGATGATTATGAAAGTGTGAGTTCAGTCCTTGCCCAGAGAATGAGGATAATTCAGGCCGGTCGGCTGACAAGACGCAGCGGACGCTGCCAGAGAGTTCCAGACGCTGAAGCCAGGAAAGTTTCAGAACTGACAGGAGGGCAGATCAAGCAGATAAGGGAAGGCAGGATAATCCACAGGGCAAAATCAAGGGACAAATCCAGGTTCAGTCCACAGTAGAATCCAGCAGATGTCTGAAGACAGGTCAGTCAAATAGATCTGGACAGAGCCAGGCAATCTCAAATGTCATGACACGACAATCAGAACACAATAAATTACGCTAGACAAACTCTCACAAAAAGGCTCAAGAATAACATGGCACTGATGGCTGGGACCAAGGAGTTTAAATAGAAGCAGGAGCAGGTGGATCAGATGAACAGTGATGAGAACCAAGGCAGAGCTAGACAGGTGACTGAAATGAGCAATTAAGCCAAGCATCAGCGACAACATCATGACATTAATATCTTAATTTGCATAACATGAGGCTCATATTTCTAACATTACCATAAAATCTTCATTCATCTCTAACAGAAACCCTCACATGAAACTGCTACAGCTTTGTTATTTCTTTATTTCGATTCAGAACTGACTCATAGTGCCATGCCAATGAATGTTTCATTGCTTATCACCACTTTCTCTCATCCAACCAGATCGCCCTTCTGCTGGCATCAGGAAGGTTTTAAAGGATTCAGGGCGCAGAGGCAAGACATCTCACCTGCAACTAACCTCTCAGATCCCAAATGCTTCTTCTATAACTACTAATAGCTACTAATGACCATGAAAAATAGCTAATAGAAATTTCCACAGATTAGTCTTTTTTTATTTTTTAAGGAAGATGGATTTTCTTTCTTGCTGAGCAGCATTCTGGGTGCTTACCTGCAGTGGGGGAAATACCTTTTTTGGTGCATTAATTACTTGCAGAGAAATGGACATATGAATACGGCATCAAGACATAATGCAGAGAGACAGGATATCATGCAAAAGTCAAATAAATATAATTTTTTCCCAACTAATTCTACACCATGGGCAAGACCAAAAAGCTTGGTCAGAAGGAGAGAAGAAGCAGTCCTTTAGAAATTGAGAAAAAAATGACCATCCTTTGGTTTGGAGTTCCAGACACGATCTTTCCTGTTAAAGTAAGAAGGACAATACAGAGGGATGGCAGGAGTTTAAAATTATCTGAACAGCACTGCCACTGGTAAAACGATTGGAAATCAAATTCCTTCTATTGTAAGTTAGTAGCTACCAAAATATTAGCCTGTTCTCTCTGATGAAGGATTTCTCAGTCAAGTTCTGGTAGTTTTGACTTACTTTTTCCACTAAATTACAGGATTTTTTTAAATTTTCTATATTCCTGTTTCTCTGCATTCACAATAGACTGTTCGGATGTTTGCTCTTTTCTCATTCAAACTTGGACTTCAAATGAGCTTGATTCTGTAGTTTTATTAATATTGTTTTCTAAAGAGGAAATTTAATACACTGATTAGGTTGAATTAAGCTCATCTGAAATCTACTTTTTCTGGTGCAGCTTCCAGCTGAAGATCGATAGAACTTCTGAAATGCTTCTTTGCACAGCATTGTGTTGGAATGCCCCTGTGAGATGGTTAAACTGGAAGATGGGGTTCATGATACAATAACCATCCATTTCTTTAAAGAACCAGCTGCCCACTTTCCGTTTAACCCCCTCGAAAAGAAATTCTGTCCTTGGTTTATGAAAACTAGAGGAAAATACTGCTTTACAGAACTTCTTCTTCTTATCCGCTTTTCTCAAAACATTTATGAAGGTGAGCTAAACATTATTTGTATGTTTCTCCTCGTCGATGACTGTACTGTTTTAGGAGGTCTCAGCAAATTCAGCTCAGACCCTGTGAAGGTGGTGAACGACGCTGTGGACGAATCAACAAACATGATTAGCTCTGTGTTTAATTTCGCTGCAAGCCTCATCGCTCCAGAGGAAGATGAAGGTAAACTAAGATGCTTAGAACAAACATTACTTTGCATTATGATAAAAGCATCATCCATGTTTATTTTTGTTACTAAGGAAAGTTTTATCAGAGTGATTGTAGATGTAAGTAAAATTTATAATGTTTTATATATTCCTTTGCAGGAACGCTGTATGCAGTAAGGAAAAAAGGTTTGTACTATTGAAGCTTTTCAGTGTTTTTTCCAGGATCATTATTTTGAAATGTAAAAAAAATCATTATGGTCTGAGCTAAATATTACCTTCGGTGTTATGTTTTATTTAATAACATAAAAATAACTTCTACAGGAGTAGAAGAAATTAAACATCTACTTTTAATGTTTGAGAAAGACTTTAAAGCAGGTATAAAAATGTATACCTCCAATTATTCCGACCTTTGGGGGAAATAATTTTTATGCAATCAAAGCATCATTTAAAGCAAGTTTTAAGAAAAAATGAAATATGGATTTTTATATTCTCTTCTTAATAAGTAGTAGAAACATATTTGATAAAAATCCAAATTTTTCCAATTCTGCCCAAATAAATACAATAAGTTCCTCAATAATCAGTGTTTATTATATAAAAAAATCTGCAAGTATATTTCTGCGAGTATTGCCAGACTTAACCAGAGTCTTGGAGGCTCGTTTCATGGAGTTTACAGATCAAACCGGGTTTGGAAACCGCTGATCTGATATCTGAAAGCTTTTTACATCTAAGCTTCTTTTATTTATGGACCTTTTCAAAGAGTCCAGATGGTTGGAGGAGGAGGGGAAGGATGATGAAGTTCAGGTGCAGAGTAAGAAACCGAAAGGTATTGGATTTCTGGCCCTCTGTCGGTGATGTTTTGGACCCCCCTAGTAAACTTTCATCACTTGTCTTTAATTGCTGTGCTTTTCTACCCTCAATAGTTATTAACAAACACTTTAACACCCCCCTCATATATGTGGGATTTTAGATTTAGATTTTATAATACATCAAAGAGAATAAACATGTTAGCCTCCTCTTTCTTTCTTTCTTTTTAAAATGTTTTTATTTGCTTCTATGCAGGAGAATTTCTACCACCCAGAAGTAAAGGTATGTTCTGCATAAATACATAACTAAGAACTACTAAACCCTGTTTTAAAAACTTTAAACATAAAACCAATTTAGGTCCAGATATTTTCTCTCTAGTGTACCAGCTGAATATAAATGATCTCTTTTGACATTTATTTTTGATAAACTAAAAATAAATACAGTAACTAAAATGTGATTGTTTTCTAATGAAGGAATAAATATATTGGAAATAACTAAAGCCAAATATACCATTTATTATTGGCGAAAAGACATATCCAGATTACTTAACTTTATTTTTATGCACTTATAAGATTTATGTGTTGTTGTATTTTCTTTATAGCCTATAAAGACGACTATATACAGTCTATATAATATTCTCAATTGTTTACACACAGAAACTGTTATATAAGACACAATGACCACAACATGTAACTTCTGCACAAACTGTTTGAAGCAGTTTCTGCTGAACTATGAAACAAATATTTCTCTTTTCACTTGATGTATTCCTAAATCACACTGTTGTCTTAACAGCAAATACAATTCTCATGCAACTGTCACAATTTGAATTTGGAAAATGTCCTGTTTTGTCAAAGAACTCACAGTTGTTTTGAAAGTCGTGACTCGATGTCACGATGCATCATATGGGCAAACATTTACCATAGATTTTCTATGGTTAGAAATCAAATGTGAAGAAGAAAAAGGTGAAACCTTTGAGAGGGGACACCGTCTGTATTGATTCAATGGAGGCAATCATTGTTTTTTGCTGTTACCACATGTACAGTAAATTGAAGTTTTGGATATGCAGCCCTATTTACAAGTCTTTGTTGGTTAGATTTGCTTTTTTCAGGGGAAAAATGTACAAATCTTCTTGATCGTTTGCCCCTATTCTCCATAAACATTCCTCATATTCTCAGAAATCTACACAATAAAAAAAACATGCCCACAATATTAAAAACCCTTCATTTCTCCAGCAAAAATCTAACTTCTCTAAATCTAAAACGACATGAATTCCTTTCAGATGTCTATTTTGTTTGCAAATAACAAGAAAATATCAGATTAATGCACTTTATAAAAACAATTTTAACACGAATTAGCTCTGTTAGAAACACAATCATGATGATGATTATGGGAAATCACACATCATTTAGATTCTTCTCTTCACTTGTGAGGGATTTGGACAAACCAACCAGAAAAACAAAGAAAATTTTCAAAAAAGGTCTTAATTTATTTCAAAAAGTGTTCAAATGATACTTTATTTATAAAATAATGTAGAGAAAGTAAAGTTTTCATACATGATAGGTAGAATAATATGTGTATTATGATAATGTGTATTTGTGTTTAAATACACAGTGATCATTTAATTTTCTAATCTAAGCAAAAAAATAAAAAATAAAAAATTCACAGATTTCTGAAGGTTTCAAATGGTAAATTAGGACCAAAAACAGAGTTAAACAAAACAGACTTCAATTCAGGTACTAACATAAAGAACTAAACCACAAACTGACCTATCAAACAAGACATTAAGGAGAATTTAAATAATTTCTGATCAGACCACTGTTGACAAACTTAATCCAATAGATAGATACTGGCCAGACACTAAGTACTTTTTAAATTGAACAAATTAACAAAACGATCCCAAACAAAGAATATCTAAACAAATGATAAACAAATTTCCCTTTCATTGCAAAAAATGGTGTGACCCGCTAATTAGCCTTTAACCACCAATTGAGAAAGCTGGAGCCCAAAGAAAAAGAAAAGAATAAATGAATTTAACAAAAACCTAACAAACTGACAAAGTTAACTAAATGTGTGCACTGGAAATAGCTAACTATAAGTCAGGCTAATGAAAATATTTGAAATGTGTAACTCATTTTAAGGATGAAAATTATACCACACAGTTTCAGAGACAGCAGGCTGCACATCACTGTTACACTCACAGCGGACAAAAGGTGCGTTGTAAAACTTTTACATACATTTTTTTAATTAAAAAACTGAGAAAAAAAATAATAGCATGTATTTTTCCCAGCAAAAATCCTCCCAAAACAAAGTTGTAAATGGTACTGCACATAAAAATAAAGAAATCTACTGAACATGTGCTAACAGCAAAAAAATGAGGAAACAGAGAAAGTGTGCAAACGATAGAACTGTAACAATGAGGTTTTTCTTCAGGTATTTCCTAAAGAAAGTTTAGATTTTTTTCTGTTAGTGAAATATTATTCAGCTAATGTTTGAATACATGGATTCTTTGCAGTTATAGAAATGCAAGTTCAGACAACACAAGAAAAGACAGAAGAAACAGCAAAAGATGAAGAAGAGGATGAGGATGAGGCAGAGGAGGAAGAGGCTGCTGAGGAGGAAGAAAAAGAGGAGGATGGAGACGAAATAGAGGAAGAGGAGGAGGAATATGATGAGGAAGAGGAATATGAGGAGGAGTATGAAGAATATTATGAGGAAGATGAGGAGTATTATGAGGAGGGGGAGTATGAGGAGGAATATGAGGGGGATGAGGAGGACGAAGAGTTAGATGAAGATGATGAGGCAGAGGAGGAGGAAGGAGATGAAGAGGAGGAAGGAATTGAGTCTGAACAAGCAGCCGATGAAGAAGATGAGGCAGTGGAGGAAGAGGAGGATGAAGTAGAAGAAGAAGTAAAAGCAGCAGGAGCCGAACAAGAGGAAGCAGAAGAGGAGAAGACGGATGAAGATGGAGAGGAGGAAGATGATGAAGCTCATCCATCTGCTGAAGTAGAGCCCAAAGATGAAGATGATGCGAAGGAAGAAGCAAAAAAAGATGATGATGAGGAAGCAGATGCAGATGAGGAAGATGAGGCCTCTCATGAATACTCTCCTGAACCCGTTTCCACCTCAGACGATGAAGAGGCGGCTCTCTCTCCAGACTCCGATTCAGACGTTCCAGTAGCCATCAGACACAGCGATGAAGATGTCACGCTCCCTGAGGATGATGATGGCAAAGATGAAGACCTAGAAGATGATAGCAGTGATGACGCGTTTGTCGATTCCTCAGACAGTGAAGCCGCACTTCTGCCCAGCGAGGAAGATGATGAAGATGACAAATTGGCAGCAACATCAGACAGCGATGATGTCATCTTAGAGGACACTGAGGATGACTTAGATCTTGATCTTCCTCCCACAGTCATTACTAGTGACGATGAGGAAGATGTTAAAATTACAAGCGAGGAAGATCTATCTTATCTACCATATGATGATGACGATGATGATGAAGACATAAAGATTTCTGAAGACACTGATAAAGAAGACGAAGATACCGGGGATGATCTGGACCAATCAGACGACGTCTCTGTTGCTTCCTCTGAACAGTTTGCAGATGATGAAGATGAAGGTAGAGATGACGAGTATGAGAGGGACATCCCCATCGACCTTGATGATGATGAAGATGCTGAAGATCTCGATAAATTTGTTGAAGATGATGATGATCATGATGATGATGATTATGAAAGAGAAGTAGAAGAGGAAGATGTTCTTCCTTTTCTCAGCTCAGACAGCGGTGTGTTGGGTGATGAAGATGACGATGACGACAGCTCTCTGAAACTGGATGAAGACTCTCTGAGTGATGAAGACGAGACTGACGAAGATGAGGACGTTGAGACGAGCTCAGCAGACATCAGCTTCGGAGAGGAAAAGATGAAAACATCTGTTGGCACTGAGGAAGACGTAGATGAAGCAAAGGAACCCTTCGATGAAGACTTAGAAGATGACGATGATGATAAAGATTTTGATGACCTGGTCCTTGCAGGTAGGGTAGAGCATTTATCGGATGATAAAAACAAAAGATAAAACAACATTTAAATCTAAATGTTAAAAAGTTAGATTTTCCAACCCAACAAATTTGGAATTATTTTACCTCATCATAGATTCAAAATGTTACGTTTTGCGTGTTTGTTTCCATTAAAGATAATGGCTGCAAGTTTAACTCTTCCTGGCCAGTAAGTGGCACGCTCATGCTCACCTTCTCTCCTTCCACACTGTTTGCAAACCAGATGCCAGGTCCACTGATGGTAATGCTAACCACCAAAATTTTGAAATGACCAGTTCAGAAGAAAAGCAGCAACCTCCTTTTGGCTTCTGAGCCCTTTGCTCCCTTAAACCGACACCACTGCTCTGAAACTTGACCTTTGCTCTGCCTCTTATTGCTTATTTTATGAGAAGTTACTCCTCAGCTCTATAATGGAGATACTAGGATCTGAGCAGCGTCAGAAGAAACTTAATGTTGTGATTCCTATTGGTGCACAATCATTTTATGTCAATGTTGGCATCTTAACCAGATATTTGGGACCCATCAAAAAGTTTTGATGCAAATGATGAATCTATGAACTTCTATGTAAAATGAAATTAAAATCCAGCTTAAAAAAAAAAAAAAGAATTTTAAATGAGAAATATTGAGACTCATTCTTCAATGTATATGCATTTATTTGGTCAAGGATCCTCGTACACAAATTACTGCATCAGTGGAGTGCAGCATGGAGAACAACAGATTGAGTTCCTACTCAGGAACGTCTTAAACTGATCTGCCTGATTGGCTGTGGTGTCTCACCTAGACTTTTACAAACCTGCATAGTTTCTCTACAGTATTTAGGTTCGATAAGTTTCCTGGAAGGTGAAGTATAATGATATAATCCAGATCAAATCTCCAGAATTATTTACAGCAGGGGGAAGCATCAGTGGCGGTTCTAGACCAAATATACCAGGGGGCTGGGGGGGCCATTACGGTAGCGCATTAAACAAGAAAACAGGCCAAGGGATTCAAATATATTAAGAATGCTGCATGAAGTAAAATTTCCATTCAGTTAGGTTTAATTAAAATTATGTCTTCCAACTGAAAATAATTGTTTTTGTCTTGAAAATTTTCATTTGGATTACCGTTGAAATAAAAATAAAAATCGCGTAGATATATAAATATCTAAAAGATCAAATAACGCTATTATTTAGGATATTAGGTCAATATACATGAATAATTCAGGAATTTTAAGTTAAAATTACAGTTTTCTATAATATCAGAATGAGAACTAAAAAACTGATAAATTTAGCTGTAAAAATTTGAGTGTTTTTTTGTATTTCTTTTGAAAAAAACATTTAGTAGATGAAAACTGGGATCCTATTTTAATACCACTGTAGCAATCACCTTATTGTTTTTAAATAATTAATAAAACTGAAATTTTTAAAGAAAAAAAATGAAATAGATCCAAAGGACCTATGTTTTTAAATAATTTATAAAATTGTTTAAAAAAAAAAATGAAATAGATCCAAAGGACCTATCAGTAACCATGTCTATTTCAGCACATATTATCATTAGAATTTCTTCTAGTATTATGTCTTCGGAACAGGGGCCATAAGAGGAGTCAGGACATGATTTACAGGGACCCTGTCTCCCGATGGACCCTCTCTAGAACCGCCCATGGGAAGCATAAAGTGCTCTAAAATCTTAATAGATTTCTGCTCTTTGCTAGCTTACCACAACCTGCAGATGCGTCTCCTGACATTCTGTGGCTCTGACCTCAGGATCTAACAATCTAAACAGCCTGTGGATTTTATATGTAAACCATGTTTCAATACATAATTCATGAAATATACATAATTTGTGATATATATATATATATATCACATATATATATATATATATATGTATGTATGTATGTATGTATGTATGTATGTATGTATGTATATGTGTATGTGTGTGTGTGTGTGTGTGTGTGTGTGTGTGTGTGTATATGTGTATATGTATGTGTATATGTATATGTATATGTATATATGTATATGTATATATGTATATGTATATATATATGTATATATATATGAATGATACAAAACTCCCGAATAGACCATATCTGATTAATTTCTTCCTTTATATTCCCAATGTATTTCAATGATTAATGTACTCTATTTGAAGGCACTATAGCAGCGGCGTTAACCAGCCAGGAGGAGGCAGCAAAGACTGAGGCAGATGATGCTGAGGAGGAGAAGGCTGATGAAGATGAGGCAGAGGAGGATGAAACAGAAGAAGCTGGTATGGATCCTATGGTTTCTATGACAAACTCTGGGTTCCTTTTAGGTTTGGATAAGAAGAGTGAGGACATATGAGCACTCTTTCATAACCAACATTGTTTATAGAGGGATAAAGACGTAAAATAAACATATTTAATTTATAATTGAATAAATGCATTTAAATGTGCATTGTAGAACCATATCAGAACTTTCCACCACTTCTAAATGGGTCTTCTGGTTTATTTTAGCTGGTTTATTTAGAACTCTGCAACTTCAGTGTTGCTGTTCTTTGGTTCCCATCAGAGACCCACCAGCCTGCTGATACTGAGGACAAAGATGAGGAGGAAGAAGCTGAAAAACCTGTTTCTAAGCCTCGGAAATCTGTAGACAAATCTGAAGAGAAAGAGGAGTATGATGAAGATGGAGATGAGGAAAAGGCAACAGTGGATGTGATTAAACCTGTGCCTGAACCAGAGGAGGAAACACCAGCTGGTTAGAAACGGAGCCTAAGGAGCCAAGTTTTTATCATATTTGGAGAGTAAATTTAATTTTCCGCTTTGTGATTTCAGAGTGTCCCTGTATGCACTCTGCAAAGGCTACAGAGGCTGTTTCCAAGACTACAGAAAAAAAAGGTTTGTCTTTATATGCAGTTATTGTTCCTATTCATGGATAACTAATAACAGAAAGCCTGTTGCACAAATGCATGTTTTATCTGCTCATATAACTATGAACAGTGGAATATATTTACAAGTGAGGGGGAGTAATATAAACATGTGCAGTATCTTGGGAAAAATATTCTTCCTGCTTAAAATTTGAATGCATATAAGTCCTCTATTTAGTAAGTAGTGCACACTGCTTTCATGGTATTGTCAGTTTAAATTCAGCTATGCTGTAAAGCATTGTAGAAACAAGGAAAACTGCACATTATCACAAACACACAAACAATCCCCACATAAAACCTGGCTGTGAAAGCATCATGCTGTGGGGATACAGGAAGAGGAAGCTGATAAGAGTTGATGAGATGCTGAATCAAATTAACAAAAAAAAAAAAAAACAGATCTAAAGAAAATGGAGAATTGATGCTGAGCCTTGAAGATTGATGTTTATATCAACCAATCGGATAAAGCTTGATTTTTTTGAGGACTGTTTGTTTGTTTTCTATTGCCCATTCATGCATCATTTGGGTAGGTCTGTCACATTTGATAAATTAAATTCGATCAAGTTTATTGTTTTTACAAGAAGAAATGTAAAAAACCTAAGAGTTAAGGTTACTTCCGCAAAATACTCCCCATAAGGTAGTTTAAATTGCTTTGCGCAGTATCATCCAATTGTTAAAAAACATATGTTTAAGTCTGTTTAAGTCCCCCCTTGGTTGTGTTTCCTGGACAGGGCCGCCTGGGGAGCTGGGTTACAGTTGCCTCTCTACTTCTTTTTCAATGTCTGCTTCTGTCTCCTTGAACCCCAGTTGGCCTCAGCAGATGGGCGCTCACACTGAGTCTGGTTCTGCTGGAGGTTTCTTCCTGTTAATAGGGAGTTTTTCCTCTCCACTGTCGCTACAAGCATGCTTAGTGTGAGGGATTGCCTTCGAGTCAATGAGTCGATGTAATCAGCTGGTTTTCCTTAGATAGAAAACTTTTAATCAATTTTACTATATGATAAGGTGAACTGTAAAGTGCCTTGAGATGACATATGTTGGGAATTGGTGCTATAGAAATAAACTGAATTGAATTGGGAACAAAAATTAATTCTAACACGCCCCCAATGGGAGCCAAGACTGACATTAAAGTTCCCCCTTAGGAGCCAAAAAGCATGCTAAAGTTCCTCAATGGGAGCCCTAATGTACTAAAGTGCCCCGTTTGGGGCTAAGATGCATGTAAGAGTGCCTCCTTGGGAGCCAAGATAAGTGCGAAAATGCCCTTGGGAGCCAAAGTGGGTGTTAAAGTGCCCCTGGGAGCTAAGACACATGCTAGGTGACCCTAGGGAGCCACATGTGCTGAAGGCCCCCCTTGGGAGCCAAGACACGTGTGCTAAAGCGCCCCAATGAGAGCGAATCAGCGCTAAAGTTCCCATTTGCGAGCTGAAATACGTGTTAAAGTGTCCTCTAAAGTGGCGAGGATGCTCTATGTCTCCTTTTTTTCTGCCCCTGCTCTTCAAAAAGTCTGAACACGCCAATTGCTCTGTGGAAAACCATGATATAGATTTGTTTTAAAAGTTGGAAAAGATTGTTGTTCAGATATCCTGCTATGAGAGAAAAGTCAGATTTTTTTTTGTCTAACAGCATTAAATTTATTTTTGTTCAATGTCAAAAGTAGATCAACATCTAGACCATTTTATACCTTTGAGATTTTAACTTCAAGTTTACCTTTTAGATGCTCCCAGGAGGGTGTCAGCTGTGCGGCGGAAAAAAGGTAAATACACAAAGAAAGCTTTGCCGTTCAATAAGTGCTAAAACCTTTCTCAAAAATATATTCTTATAATTATATAAAATGGTTTATTTATAAACTGAAAGGTATCTTTTGGAAAAATGTTCATCTTTTTTTCCTTTTTCTTATTTTACTTTAAGAACAGGAAGCTATAAAGAAGACAGATGAAAAGCCAAGAAGGCAAGGTAACTCTAATTACTTTTATGTCATATCGGTTATTAACAGTAATTTAAGGTGCAGTAGCTTCAACTATGCTCCAATGTTTGATCCAGTTCTTCCTAGAATGCAGATTCAGGAACCAAAAGTCAGAAGAATCCGAAGATTAGCTCCTCTTCTGAAAGGTATGTGGAAATATAAGTCATTTTTATGCAGGATATTAAAAAACAAGTTGCAATATTCATGCTTACATATTAAAAAAACTATTGCCTGTTAACTTTTTTCGATTGATTAAAAAATGAAAACATGTTAACTTCCTTCCAACAGCTAAGATCAAAGCGGGGGCCAGGATGTCAAAAAAAGGTAAGGAATGAATACTGCAAATTTAAAGACAGACAGTTATAACAAACAAAATAAAATTCCTTTTTTTTCCTTTTCTGGATTGTTTTTCATCACTAGGGACAGAAGCCAAAGAACAGGAACAGGCTACAGAGTCAACGCAAGACGGTACGGAAAGGATAAAATAGATTTTCATTGTTATAATTGGTTGGAAGTGTAGTTTTTTTTATCAGTTTACTAACAAAAAATAATCACAGTACAAATGCATTTTTCATTGTAATTTGTGACTATAAAGAAGGTTTTGCTTGTTTTATTCAATCTTTTTTACCTATTCCTGATAAATAAAAAATAAAACATGCAACTTATGCTGAAAGGAAAGAAGAAAAGGGACATTTTGACCCAAAAATAATATCTATTCTATAGACGAAATTGGGGATCATAATCAAATATAATTTAATTCTGGATTTATCTGAGCTTTAAAGTAGTTTGATTGATGTTTAAGTTGTGTATTTTTCCTAATATCCAAGGACACTGAACTGAATGGCTTCTTAAAGCACACATGGCCACACCCATTACTAACATAATAACTCTGCAATGATCTGCTCCATTGTTATTAACAGTAGAAACCAGATATTTACATTCCTTTTAAAAAAGATGAAAGGACATTTTATCTTTTTTTTCATTAATGTTAATTTTTGGTTATAAACATTTGCAGTATAGGCACAGGTAAACCCATAATAACAACACATATGCCTCTTATTAAGCCAGTATCTACTTCAAATGTAGAGATTTCAATTGATTTTTAAAGACAGGAAAAAAATATGTCGATTTTTGAAATTTGTTGTTAACTTTTTCAGCATTTATGACAAAATTGAAGATTAACCTAAAATTTTGAACATTTACATTTTGACTGTATGAAAGAAAATAGACTTGTAAATGTTGTAAATGAACCTCAATAGAGTCTTTTAGGGTTCAGTTATGATTACATAAAGAAACTTTAATATGCATTCCATTTTTTTTTCTGCAGTCAGTCCCTGCAGACCTGCTCCAGTTTACTGCCCTGCTCCCCCAGGATGGTACGGTAGGTCACCCAGAATCCAGCAATGCTGTCTGATAATACCAGACAGGAGATGCTTGAAAACTGTAAATGAGTGGTTGCAGCATAAAGAAAACAGTTTGTCTGTTTGCTGAAATTGTCCCTATTTTCCAGTTCATCACATTGTGACAGACAATCCCTACCCTCCTCCGACCATGTCAGGTATTTTCCCTGATGTGGGATTAACAGAGTGACTTTTATCTTTTAACATGCACTGAGGTTATGAGAAGCCTCTTGCTCATCATTATAATAATGTTTTTTTATTTTTTTTTCAGCTCCTTCCGCTCCGATTGTGACTGTTCATCCTGCAGCTTCACCATCACAGCCTCCATATCAGCAGCAGCCTCCTCCTCCAACAATGCAGCCGTTCTATGCTCACTATCAACCATATCAGCCCCCAGTGCAGCCTATGACGCCACCTCCTTCAGAACCTTCTCCACCTGAACAACAGGAGGAGCCAGAGGCTCCCCAACCTGAAGCGCTGGTGGAACCAGAGACACCGACTCCATCTGCAGAGGCTCAAACGGCTGCAGCTGAAGTTCATGGTGAGCAGGAAGGTGCACAGTTGATGTCACTATTAAATCCAAAAAGGATCACAATTTTACACTAAAACTAATAATCTAACATTTTAAAAGAGTCAAATACAGCAATCTGTTTATGTACCTATATTGGAGACATAATATTTGGAGAAAAATGTTTATTTGTAAACTAAAAACAATAAAAAAATATTAGAAACTGAAAGAAATTAGAAAAAAATGTAACTGATAATTATTATGGAAACTTAAAAGAAAAGATTTAAAACTGATAACTATTTTATGAAAATAAGAAAATAAATATTTGAAAATAAAAAAATCTAATCTAACTTAAAAAGGTTTCGAAACTGAAAATGTTAGCAAATGTGTTTTGCAATTATTATTTTTACAAAAAAAAAAAAAAATTCAAAGAAAAAAAATGGAAGCTCCATCCTTATTTGTTTGGGTTTTGTCTATTATTTAAGCCTATACTTTTTAATGGAACTAAACTAATCAATTGGCCTTTATTTTTTAAAATAATGTAGAGGAAGTACATGTTAGGTAGAATAATATGTGTATTTGTGTTTAAATACGCAATGATCATTTAATTTTGTAATCTAAGCAAAAAAAAAAAATCCTTAGATTACTGGAGGTTGTTTAGAAACACTTCCACTGCTATTTTTCTACATATTTTAGCATATAAACATGGACAAATGGAGGACAAAAAGAATTTATAGGCATAAAAAGCATTTCCAGCTGTGAGCAGTATCTGAAATAATTTTTTATTCTTTCATAAACACATTACATCAAAGAGCAGAGGCGGGACCTGAAAGATCAACATCCAGTTGATCATCTATTGTAGGAAGCAGCTCTTTGGGAATGGCATTCATGAAGCTGACATCAGGCTGTCAAACATTTCTATCTTTACTGTTTTTCTTTGATCTATCAATGAAATTCTAGTGAAATGTTTCGTTATGACAGGCTGCTCATTACAAAAAACCCTTAAGATCCAATTTACAGCAATTTTTTCCAAGTTTATTTGAAACATGTCCAAACAATCTTAGCTTATAACTAGAGTTGAACACTTTCTAGGAGATTCACCTATGCAGGCATGATAAAAATAAAGCCTTTGATAATGATTTGCTCTTGAACTTCAAATGTCTCAAAAAAGCAGCAACATTTAAAGAAAACCTTAGATCATCTAAAAAACAATTCTTAAACGCTGTGAAATATGATATAAAAGTATGAGGTCTTTATTAGATCATACAAAGAAATAATCAATGAGTCTGACCTTTATTCTATGTTAGTGCATCTACATTTTATGGATTTGGGCAGATCTAAAAAGAAAATTTATTTAAAAAAAATCAAATGATCTTAATTTTAACCTACAGTAAAGGTTTTAAAGGTAAGGCTAACAAGATATTTTATATATAGTTTAAAATTGACTAATTTAACCCTTATCTAAACATCTTAATAAATGCATTTTGTTCAAACTATATATTTAAACATCTAAGATCATTTTGATTTTTTTTATGAACCTATGAAATAACCATACTATTTCTTCTCATTTAAGAAACAGAGAAAGTGGAGGAATTAAAGGCTGCCTCAGTGAAGAAAGGTGCAAATTACTTTAATGAATTATAGTTGTTGACATAAACATTTTCTAACTAATTACTGCCATCCACAGTCATTATTTATTTTGTTTTCTTTTTACAGCTGCAAAGAAAAAAAACAAGGTTGCTGATTCGGTAAAAGGTACAAGCTCTTCCTCTGACAGGATGTTTTATTTCCCCGCATCACTGGAATGTTTCCTGAATAAACTGCCGCTACACCATATAATAACTGTAATATACAGTGACACAAAACACTATTAGGCAAATTAACTTTCATGGTCATATTATTGTAATTATTCATTTAGAGCCTGAAGCTAAACAAGCTTAAACAAATAGAGTCTTTTCCTCTTTAGCTTCAGTTAACATGGTTTTCTGTTGACGGAGAAATATCCCAACAATACTGAAATAAATGCATACTAAAATATGTAGAAGACAGCTCATAAAATCTGTCTAAGACTTTTATATTTGTTTTCTCAGATGCAAAAAAAGAGAAAACCAAACCGTCAGCAGAAGCTAAGAAAGGTGAGGTACATTCCTACTGAATTAAGTGGCAATAATAAATGATGCTTATTTCAAGCATTTTTATCTACAGAGAAAATTGCAAAGGTGAAATCAAAGCTTCAAGCTGATGCTAAAAGAGGTTATTACATGTTAAACCAATTTTTATATCAATTTTAATAAATGAAAAAAAATGCAGGTTTCATTTAAATCTATAATTTATTTCTACAGACAAACCTGTAAAAGGAAGATCAAAACCTTCACCTGATGCTAAAAAAGGTACATTGCATTATATTTAATTAAGCCAAAGTTATAGCATGCATACTTTTATTTTATTTTTTTTATTTATTCTGTTTTCCTCAGAGAGCCCAGCAAAGGAGAAAACTAAATCTGCTCCACTTTCAAGAAAAGGTAACCTGTGATTAAGTCACGATTTGTCTGAATTCTAATCACTAAATGAATTAGATTGCAGCATAAATTAACAGTCAGCGATCAGAGAGAAAGACACGTTTTATGTAACCTAATCTCACCAATCTGCTCATCATGTTAGAGCCTGCAGCTGTACAACAGAAAAGGAAATCGGTGTCTAAGAGGACAGGTAACGAGACACACTGACACCACTTAATATGCATGAAGTCAGTCAGAATTCATTTCAGTGACAAGAGAGACGATTGCTGATTAGGAGTTAATTGTTTTTGTTTCCCTCTGGAGCGTCGGCTGTCAAGAGCAAAGTCAAAGCTTCCATAAATAAGAAAGGTACAGTTTTGATGAGCTCTGTGAAGTTTGATGAGGATCGTTTTAATGATTGATTCCAGCTAAAGATGCTGAAGAGAAACTTGGTTTATGCTGTTCGAACTGGTAAAAATGTGCTGCTTTCGAACAGATTCAGAGCCAAAACCGCAGCCACTGAGACTGAGAACGAGACCGGAAGCTGACATGAGGACAAATGTGACGTCTCAAGCTGAGCAGAAGAAGCCCATCAGAATCTCCTTTAAACCAGGTAACCCAGAAGAAAACGTAGAGTCAACGTACCAGAGAACTTTTAGGGCTGCAACTAACGATCATTTCGCCCTTTTTGATTGACCACTGAGGGCTGCTCAGTGGTGCAGTGGGTTGCAATGCTGCCTTGCAGGGTTGCATGGTTCCGGGTTTAATTCCTGGCCCGGGATCTTTCTGCATGGAGTTCTCCCTGAGCATGTGTGGGTTCTCACCGGGTACCCCGGCTTCCTCCCACAGTCCAAAAACATGACTTTTAGGTCAATTGGCTTCTCTAAATTCTGATTAGGTGTGCATTAATGGTTGTTTGTCTCTGTGTTGCCCTGCGATGGACTGGCAACCTGTCTAGGGTGGACCCCGCCTCTCGCCCGTAGACAGCTAAAGATAGACACCAGCAACCATCGCGACCCCGCTTGGGATAAGCCTGATGGAAAATGGATGGATTAATCAATTAAAAATCGGACTTTAAAAGGTTGATTAAAGAAAATTTTCTTACAAAATTCAAACCAGGGAAATCAAAAACTTTTCCACTTGAGGAGTGAAATAGAACATATTGACGGATGAAAAACTTTTTTTTTAAATTTAATTATAAAATGTTTATATCATTTTAGCATAATTATTCCTCTAAGCAGTGTTGGGCACGTTACTTTGAAAAAGTAATTAGTTATAGTTACTAGTTACTTCTCCCAAAAAGTAACTGAGTTACTAACTGAGTTACTCCACAACAAAAGTAACTGGTTACTAGTAAAAGTAACTATTGCGTTACTTTTGCGTGTCTCGCCCCCGTAAACCTCACCACCCAGCCCCCACCTTCTCGCCGTGTGATTCAAAAGCCAGCTGAATAGAGCGGACGACAAAGACAAGAACCTGCAGAGAGTTATGACATCAGAGGGAACGCCATGTGAAGTTTTTAAACAGGGCATTCAGATCTGGTGAAATTAATAACTGGGGATGTCTAATTCTGAAATCCTGTGTGTTTGGGTTGTTATAGATACTGCAACATCTATCTATCTATCTATCTATCTATCTATCTATCTATCTATCTATCTATCTATCTATCTATCTATCTATCTATCTATCTATCTATCTATCTATCTATCTATCTATCTATCTATCTATCTATCTATCTATCTATCTATCTATCTATCTATCTATCTATCTATCTCTCTATCTATCTAGATGTATACTCTGTGTGTGACATAAAATATGGATCTCCATCCCTGCCACAAAGGCCATCAAATAATGTTTAAAATAAAAAATACAGTAGGTTGAGAAGGCAGACTATCCATCCATCCATCCATCCATCCATCCATCCATCCATCCATCCATCCATCCATCCATCCATCCATCCATCCATCCATCCATCCATCCATCCATCCATCCATCCATCCATCCATCCATCCATCCATCCATCCATCCATCCATCCAGATTTCTCCCTTTCATTTGATCGTTCACGCTCTCCATAGTTCTCCTGTTGCGCGAGCACAGGGCGACTGTTGCGCGCCTTTAGCGAGCATGCGCGTTTCCTGTCGCTTGCGCGGTGAATCGTGCCGCCTGCGCTGTGCGGAGATGCAGAGGAAACCGTATGTGATGGGGAAACGCAGCTCGACGTAACACCTGTATTTCCATCAGGAAAACGCTGTTTGCTGCTGGAGTCATCCTCACTCTCCATCTCTCTGTGTGTGCTGTACGTTAACACCCACCAGCAGAAACACCCACCTACCCAACTGACAGACGGAATCTCACTATACATCAGCCATTCTCATCCTCCCCTCTCTCATGACAAGGCGCGCACCTCTGGATGACCTAAAAAACTATCTTTAATATCTCTTAAACAAAAGTAGCACAAACAATATTTTTTTCTGCACAAATCTTCACTAACGTTGCACTAACCATTCAGTCTATTTGCAGAGTTTTTTGACGTGGGTGGGGAGTCAGCTTCACGCAGCTGCGCACGAGTCTTATCATGAAAAAAGGTTCATTGTGCGACCTGAGTAACGCGCAGTAACGGGGTGTCTGCAATGGTAACTGCGTTATAGTTACAGTCAAAGTAATTAGTTAGATTACTCGTTACTAAAACAAGGTTACGGCGTTAGTAACGCCGTTACTTTCAACGCCGTTAGTCCCATCAATGCCTCTAAGTGGGTTGCTTCATCAGCTAAAGATATTTTAAAGTCTCTATACTCCATTTACCGATTATTAATTGATTGCTGAGTTAGTTAATGATTATTTCAATAATCAATTAATTTATTTTATTGTTTCAGCCGTTATATAGAAATCTGTTCTAACTGATTCTAGTAATAAAAACTCAGCTTAATGGTTCTGTAAATAATTAGTCAGACATTGTTTGTTAATGTTGAGTATGTGTCTTATGTCAGTTCTAAGGTTTTACTCAACAGAACAGGGTTGATCTTATCTCTGCTGGGTCCTACGCTTCTCACACCGTCTTCATTGTATAAAACCACATTACAGATTATATATATTTATTTATTTAATTAAAAAAAGGAAGGAGCTCTGTGAGGAAAGTTAAATTGAACTCATAATTTATCAGATTATGTAAAACATCATCAGCATCTCTAAATCTCTCTTGTTGTTGTTTGTTTTCATGACTTTATCTATCTCTAGATTCATTCTAAGGATTTTCAGCCTAATCATCTTTAAAAAGTTGCCTCAGTTTATTAAGGTTTGCATTGATTTGTGCTCTGACTGAATAAAAATCCCTTATTCTTTTTCAGTTAGTTTGTGTTGTTTGCTTAGATTGTCAGGTTAACACCCCAGTTTAAGCAGTGAAATGTTTGCCTGCTGTTAGAAAATGTTGGTATTCAAAGGCTTTTTGGTGTGATGGTTCTCTTGTCAGTGGTGATTATTGGTGAATGTGTTGCACCTGTAGAGGTGGGAGTGGCCAAGCTAACAAAAGGCAGCTTATGCAGGTTGCTCTCTCCCTCTCTGGGCAGCCATTTTCACCTCTGCATGTAAATCACTTCATTTCATCACTAATACTCATCATTCCCATGCCCCGTTTAAATTTTCATCACTTATAATGAAATTAATTGGATCTTTAACTTTAATTGTGAGGACTCCTCCTTTTTGTTGCCATCTTGAGCCACAGTGGTCAAAGAGAGGATGTTACTGTTGCCCAGTGAGTGCAACAGAAGGTCCGCTCGTGTTTTGATTGCTATTTTGATTTGTTTTTCTAAAAAAAAAATCTCACTTCTCATAAATCGTCCCAGGCTATCATCAGTACCATACATGCATGTCAACACACTCTATATTATATATTTAATCATATTTTACCTTGAGCATTTAAAGACTAAGGTGCAGCTATAGTTGATCTTTTGTTTGGATTTTATCTGAGCATTGCAGCGTCTACAGGTCATGTTCTTGGTTTGTAAATAATTAGAGTGACCTTATAATTCTTCCCACATTGATGAGCTGCAGCAGTTTCTTCCCTCAGGTCATTGCAGTTGTCTTTCCTACTTGTTATCAAACATTGGCACCAGATAGCTGCACAATTTTCTGCTTTAACAAAGGTACACAAACTTGCTGAAAATTAATTGGTTAGGTGTACTTGATTAACACATGACTGATGATTTAATTTTTATATTATTTTGGTGAAAAAGCTGTATGTTTTTTTTTTTTTTCACACAGCGTTCCTGTTAAAATATTGACAGTATCTCTAGTATTCCTACATATTTTTTTGTACATTGGAATTTAGATTATTATGATAATAGTCACAAGGTTTTATTTGTCAGTGGTGCTTTAAATTTTACACTCTATTCATTATTAAAACAAAACCAAACCTGAGCTTTGAGCAGTAAAAGCTAACTAGGGTTTCCAGTTTGATTCTTGCATTGTATAATGTATTTCAGTTTTAGCTTAGCAGTGGGCAGGATGATATTCAACACTGACTTTGACCCCACTTTATCTGCAATAACTGAATCCTCAAATGATGTAGAGAAGAGATTTAAAGCCGAGGGAGTTCAATAATGTTAAAATGCTTAACAAATGAAATGGAAAAGTGGAACGATTATAGCCAGAATGTGTGGGAGTGGGAGGAAACGGTCAGAAGAACAGCTTTGAAGAGATTACTACAATATTCCCACTCAGACTCATATTGAGGAGATTATAAAGCATTTAACTAAGAGGAGAAAAGGAATCATGTGGATGTATGAATACAGTAAGTGAGGTACTCACCTTTTTATGATATAAAATCACATAAAAATGATTAATGTATAAAACAAACAGGAGGAATTAATCAAAAAGCAGAGACAACCCCTTAGAGCCTAAACTGAAATGCCAGAATCAGCTGACTAGGTTCTGCTGGTTCTTCCAAAAACTGGGCTGTAGCTCGGAGGAGATTATATTAATAAACAAATAATCAGTCAGATCTGCTCTCTTGCTGATTTAAAGTATTTCCTTTGTTGTATTTTCTTTTATTTTAAAGGATTTCTTGTGGTGCCTTTTATTTTTTTTAATTATATTCTATCCTTGCTGTTTGTCTCTGCTATGTTATTTGCATTTCCAAATCCCTTACCAAATTGCCGGCCTTTTATGCATTTAGCTTGATGTCCCAGAGAAAATCTGGCTCCTTCGAAATATGGATTATGTGATTAAAGTTGTTTTCCATCAGATAACAAAACCCCAATAAGGGTTTTTTCCGATATTACGCGGAGGGAGAGTAAAAATCAGAATATGTTTTTCAGGCTGTAACTGGACTGTCTTTCTTCTCTGACAGGAAAAACTACAAAGGCAGAGAAGAAACCTGTCAAAGAAGATCCAGGTATAGAGCCGGAAAAATAGATGTTCTCTAGGGATCTGGACTTTAAACTGATCAGCATTTTTTCTCCTTCTTCAAGCTCTAGATAAAGAGAAACAATCACCCAAAACAAGTAAGTATGACTTTGTGGATGTTATTTACCGAACATTGAAAGCCGTTCCATTATAGCAATGACATTACTCAGGATTAAGCTGAACTTAATACAGTGAGAGTGATGTGATATACGTAGATACAGGTGGGAAAAATGCTGACAATAAAGCCATGAGAAGAACTAAATACACCCTTGCTGCTTTCATAGTGTTTAGGAGCATAAAGTTCCTGATGAAACACTTCAATAACTGATGATCAGCAATTTGATCAACATCAGCATTTTTTTCAAAATCCCATATGAGAGAAATCACTGTAGAAAAGAACCTACAGAATACAATAATAAAACTCTTAATTCATGTTCAACGGCCTTCACAATAAAATATCCCATTTACATCTATAAAGATAAATAATACAAAAATGCCTAAAAAGGAATAAGATCAAATGTATTTATTTAAAAAGCTATTGCATGGTGAACAAAGAGACTTTTCATCCTGTTGCTCCTGACTCTGTATCCATGCCCGTAGGGAAGCAGATTGAACTTTTTGTGCAGAGCGTGGTTTTGGTTTCTAATGATGGCTTTTCACACCTGGCTGCTCATATACAGCAGATGGTTCCTTCTTTGGAAGAACTACTTCACTTTTAACATCTTGTCTCATTTTGTAGATATGTTGACAGTTTTAGTTGGGGTATTTAAAAACAAGGCAATGATAGAACATATTAAAACTTAATAAATGTTGCAGTTTGTGAAAGGACAATTGGAAGCTGAACAGAAATAATAAGACTTCAGTTGATGAACTTCTAGGCAAAGGCATTTCAACCTGGAGAGACTCACAAAGAACAAAGCTACAATTACAAAATATTCAAATTGTTCAGTGTATTCTCATTATCAGTTCGTATGAAATCGTACGAAAAGTTATGCACAGTAATTTTATACGTTTTTGACGTTTTTTTCGTGGTATTTCGTCGTATTTTTACATCTTGCTTCGAGACAAGATATCCTTGCGCATGCGCATCTTACATTCAATGACATAGAATTTAACATACAATAAACCCTAACCCTGACCCTAAGATACAAAACAGCAAGCAACCTAGTTAGAGACATCAAGAAGTAATTATTGCACTGTTTTTCCCAGTTTTATGTCCGTCCGAGGATCTGCTTTTTTTGTCTGTCTGGCGGCGCATGCGCACTGATCTGTTTCTTCGAGGAAAAACGTCAAAAACGTACGAAATACTGTGCATAACTTTTTGTACGATTTCATACGAACTGATAATGAGAATATGTTGAATTGTTTGTACAGGTAACTCAATCATATTCTTCAACTTACTTCTATCAAAAGAAAGCCAGCTGATTGCGAGGACTCACTAACTCTCTGAAATCCTTCGCAATAAGCATGCATTTAGCGACAGTGGAGAGTAAAACTCTTTTAACAGGAAGATACCTCCAGCAGAACCAGGCTCGGTGTGAGCGGCCATCTGCAGTTTAAGATGACGGAAGCAGATAGAGACATAAATGAAATAAGTTATTTCAGTCCCCAGCTGAAGACTTTGATGCTGTGAATCCATGTACGCTTCATTGATTAAAGTGGAAGAGAATTGGAGTAGTCTGGCAAGGTCTGGACACTGGTGGTGGAATAAGTCAGAAGGTGGGTGGGACAGAATAATATGAGAATGGGGGAGGAGATGGGGTGGAGGTGGGTGAAAGTTTGCCTGCATGTGGGAGAGAAAAGCTGGGCCAGGAGCTAAATGAAGGGGATCCTGAAAGATGATTGACTTTGGAGAAGATGATTGACTGGAACTGAACAAGTGCATCACAGGTGGTTCAGGTGAAGCTGATCAGTGTCTTCCAGATTGAATTTATGCTTAAGCTTAATTTATTATCTGTAATAAAGTTGCAGGAGTTGAATATCTTCTGGAACAACATCCAGATAGTTTAGATCTTTGGGCTATGATGCAATAGCCTGACGTAGTCCGACTCAATTCTAGTCAGAATATGAGTCTGATACTGCTCCATAGAGCTGTGATTATGGGGCGTGTTTCGAACGAACCAGGAAAAAAATGCCTCTGCACTCAATTGGATAGACCTACAACCAATAAGAGCAACGGAGTGCGTGACGTATGTTAAGCCAGGCACAGTTGTTGTCAACAGAAATCAAAGCGTGCAGTTGCACGCCTATAATAAGAAGATGAGACTTGATCGCGTTTCTCTGTTCCTCTTTTAAAATTAATTTGCTGTCGATATCTTCTAGAACAGACCTAATAGCAGAATCTACTCACCCAAACTCTCAAGCGGCAGCCATTATTGTTGATACCTGTCAAGTTAAAACAGCAAATGGTGTATTGGTGTGAGTGCAGTACCATCTCCACCCGGCTGGTGCGCGCCTCACAGAGATCAAGCGCGCCCAACTCTCTCACTCAGGCCTTCAGGAGCCTATAAGGTAACTCAACACACCTGTGTTCTGAGCAATCTCTACAGACAAAGACCTCATCTTCAAGCTCCTGCAGAGACACCACTGGTAGGAAATGAACTTTAAAACATTAAACCTGCATTCAGAGGACCTAGCAGGCTTTACAAAGATGGATTTGTGCATTTGGAATTAACTTTATTTTGCTTATTTATTGATAACTTAAAAGTAAAAAACATTGACTGGAAACTTATTAATTCATTGTGTTTTGTTTTGTTTGTTTGTAGGTTTTCAACCTGCTTGGTTGTCTTGTCTTTGAGAGTGAAGTGATTTAAAGAAAAAAGTGAAAAGAGAAATAAAAAGATGACACTGAGATGAGTTGGTCCTGGGTCTCTTTGATGGGAGCAAGCCCTTTTCAAGTTTGGGCAGAAGGCAAGTTTGGGAAGAAGGCAAGGTGGTTTGTAGAGGCCAAAAACTTGACAGTTGAAAACCACTTGGAAGCTGATTGGAAACCAATTGGAAACCAACTGAAGACCTGATGACGGTGAAGTCCTGACAAAAGGGCTTCGACGAATCAACTCAAGGAGGACATCAGGTCATCTCATCTGTACAATCCACAATGGCTGAAGAAATGTTTGGAAAGTCACTGAAACAATTGAAGCTGGATCGCACCATGGCAAAATCTTCCTTCACCAAGCAAGCACACTTCCTGAGCAGAAAAGCTTCCAACATGACAGAGATGGAACTGCGAGAGGAGTTCAAAAAGCTAACCTCTGATGCCAGACATGTAAGTGATTCAAATGATGATTACAAAGCTGGACTATTAGCAGAGATGGAAGTTGAAGCTGGTGAACTTGATAAACGGCAAGAAGCTGATTTGGAAAAGACTATTGATGACTGTGAATCAAAATTAGAAGAAGTCAAACAAATAGTTCAGTCTAATTAGTGGAAAAAATATGGTCAAGATGAGCTCTATACTGCAATCCAAGAGGCAGAAAAGGCATGTAATGATGCTTCTGACATAAAAGTTTTAACTGTGACCAAAAGTGCATATGAAGTCCAACTGTCCTTTGTGGAGAATGTGATCCAGGAATCTATTAAAAGTTTTGTGACCTGGGAAATATGGATTCCTGTAGAAGAGAGGGACAATATTGAACACAGAATAAAACAGATAAAATTGATGAAAAATAAACTTCAAGCAAGAAAATCACAGTTTGCCATAGCACAAACGATCGCAGAGGAGAAGAGTAAATCAGATGCTGCTCAATCAGACCTTACATCTTTACCTATACTAGCTCCACCCGCACCCATTGTAAAGATCAGCACCATTTGTCTACCAAAATTTCATGGCTGTAAAAGAAACTTTCACAGATGGAGAAAAGACTGGGAAAGTCTGCAGAAGCAGGGAGAACCAAGTGGCTCAGTGGAAGTGAAAAAGTTTCAGTTGTTGGATAGTGTAGATGAAAGGATCTGTAGTGAATTACACCTGTCTGCTTATGATACTGCTGCAGATATGTTCCGAGTGATGGAAAATAGGTATGGCGACAAGTCAAGTATTGCTTTAGAAATTATTGAAGAGCTTGAGAAGACTCCACCCCTGAAAGCAAACCAGCCAAGGAAGGTGATAGATCTTATACAAACAATTGAAAAGGCTCTAGCTGACTTAACAGAGCTAGGTAACATTGGAGCCATGAAAAACCCTCTGGTTATTAAATCTCTAGAGAGCAAACTACCTGATGTTATCAAAAGAGACTGGCTAGTTTTTATGGTTAATCCTGCCAATGCAGTTACACCAGATAACCATTTTGATAGTCTTCTCAAATTTTTAAAAACACAGGAGGAAGTTCTAGAGAGATTAGAGCAACTTGGAGTGAGTGAAAAGACTGAGAAGAAGGTTGAGAAACGACATGCTTTTACTCGATCCACAAGAAAGAATCATGTCTGTATTGTGTGTGGAGACGCAAGACATGGAGATAAAATATTCTTCTGCAAACAGTTCAAAGAAATGAATGTACCTGAAAAGCTCAACATTGTAAAGACATTGAAAACATGCAAAAGGTGTTTGAGAAAGCATGAAGAGGATGTTGGATGCATCAACACTTACCTTTGTAGAAACAAAGACTGTAAGAAAGGGAGCTTTTCAGATCACCATTTCCTCCTTTGCCCAAAGGGTGAGCTTACAAGGGTTGGGATTGATAAACCAAGAAGGAAAAATAGACTAACAGAAGAGCAGGAGAGATTCATAGCTGGACTTTCACCAGAACTAGCAGAAGAATGCAGAAAAGCCTTTTCAAATGTAACTGCTTCAACAAGAAACACAAAGTGTGAAGTCCCTGGGCTTATGGAGTCATATGGACTAAAGGAGCAACCTGTCATTCTAATGCTGTTGGAAGTCACTGCAAATGCAGGCCAGAAAATTGGCACTTTAATTGACTTGGCTTCTGATACCAATTACATTACTCATCAAGCAGCTAAAAGGTTGAACCTAGAAGGTGAGAACATAACATTAGTTGTTCATGGTGTTGGGGGAATGTCAGTCAAAGTTAGAACAAAACGATACCTGTTAAAAGTTAGAGTCAAAACCCCCAAAGGCACAGTGAAAGCCCACCAGCTCATTTGT